CGCTCCCTTACTACCTTTCACAGCAAAGCCAGAGGTGGAGATCCCGGGAATAATTAAAAGCACCTGATAGGAGGAGATGACATTTAGACTGAAGAGTGTACCCAGTAGAATGTAGAACTACTCTTCCGAGGCAAGTTTTTGTCATCATCAATAGAAATACTAATAATTAGCATTCCTCTGAATTCTTCTAGAACATAATATTCATCTTTCATTTAGGATTATGCAAATACCAAACTTCATTGAGGAAAATACATCCATACACTTCTGTGGCGACAGATCCCCCTGCACATTTTGGATGTATACTACAAATAAGGATTTTTGGTCATTCTAACACCATTTGCTTTCACCTTCTGAAAAACTCTGGAAAGGTAAATCAAGTATTTGATCCCCAAATTTCCTTACCAACTAAAACAAACGATCCAGACCTGTTCCAGACACTAAGGAGCTCCCAGGCACTGCACGCTGATTAGGACAGAGTATTGCTGAAGATGCATCCCTCAGAGAAGGTTGTTCACCGCCCCATAAACACTCCCTATACGTTGGTATAAACTCCCTTCGTGTCAGTGAGGGTTTAAAGCAAGTGAAAAACCAAAGAGAAATTAAACCTTTAATGCAAAATAAACATCTCTGCCATACCACAGTGAATTGCTAACACTATCTTGTAAATAGCATTTAAGGATCAGGTGGGGTTTGTCTGTTTCTGTTTGTTTTGTGGGTTTGTTTAAAAAAAACCAAACTTCTCTGAGAGTTTGCATTTAGCAATTAGCACACCTCCCCTCTTACAACTGAAGGGGAGTTCCTTTGGGAATGAAACACTTTCTCAGGGATGTAAAGCAGGGATAAGAAAACCACAGACTATGTTAGGGAACACAGATTAAGCGTGACCTTGGTCCACTTACCTTGACGTCAAGTACATCGAGATCAGACTGACCCATAGCTGGCTCTGCAACCACCTTTTGTAAGAAATACGCCGTATTCTTCTTACTTTCAAGCTCTCTGGGTATTTTTTCAATGACCAGGTATGAATTGAAATTTATCTCCTCTTCTAGTTTCTTCATTACACCTTAAAAGCAAATTAAATCAGTTTGTGGCTATAGAAGTAATGCAACAGATAATGAAGTTTGATTTCACCAAGACATTGAAATACTTAGCAGTAGATTGCAATTACAACACCATAACGTTTGAATCTTCTGTGTGATGCTCAAAGAAACAGCCAGTTACTTGATTTAGACTTTTAAGCTGGATGTTAAACAATATGTGTTGTTATCCACCTGTATGTCTAACATTAATTCACTGACAGATTCTTTTCATCGTTAAACAAGAAAGACCCTTCTTACATGAAACTCTTGCTGAATCGGATGCAAAATCCATCATGCATCATGGACAGAGAACTCATGGACCCGGGGTGTGTCTCACACAGATAGGGGATTCTACGTTACTTTTTGCTGTTACTGTTGTGAATTACATTATTTCTAAGATTTGAAAGTTGAGACCTAGACTTTGGTGCTCACATGCACACAGGTGAGGGGCAGCAAAGCATGTCACAGCCACGCTGACTTGCTCGGAGCTTTTCTGAAGCTTGTAATCCCTTGGAACCTCCCCGGCTGGAGCAGTGCAGCAAGCACCCTGAACTTGGCCCTGCCCACAGATTGCACAGGTCATTGTTTTGTGTCAGTGACTTCATCCTGTGAAGATGTAGGTGAAAGCAGAGGTTTTGATTCTCTCTAAAAAGCCTGCTGACAGTATCCCGGACTGACAAAAGGAGGTCAGAACAAAGTGAAATACAAGCTAAGGAAAAGGGGCCCCATTACTCTGCCACTATTTACCTCTACAAACATTGTACGGATAGATCCTGCTTGCCCTCTGCTCCCAGCTCAGCCTGAAAGGAAAGCTACTCGGTGTAGCTGCCAGAGAGGAAATAAGCCATCTTGAGGCTTTCTCAAGGACCAGAAGCAAGCAAGCAGACCCGAGGGAAAGCAGCGTTGCTAACCAAGTCAAGTCAACACAAACACAACATTTCGGTGTGGAAATCTAAGTGAGATCTATTAAATTCTTCTGATAATAAATATTATTTTCATCAAACTGATTTCTTGTTTTCCTCTTAGTAGCAAAACCACTTCGGCATGGACAGCAGATACCTACTGCATACACACTGCTCCAGTTTTCTTATAAAAACCTAGATGCCCAAATGATTTACTGTAGGTATGACACTAAACTCTGGAAATAACCACGCCTAAACAGTTGCTTTCATAAGGGCAGGGACCTACTGACTTCATGGGGTATAACCTTGATTGCCACGTAGATTTATTTCTCAGATAACTTCAGAGCTACTGCCAGCTTCTTTTAAACCCTGACTGGTTCTGCATCACACTTACTCTTGATAGTGCAACAGGCAATGAAGCGAGTTAAAACTTGACATCTTGATGGGGAAAGACACGATGATGTCGACATCCCCCATGACTAATGTAGTTTCTTTCCTAAATACTAAATATTTTTCCTCCTATATGATTCAACATATGGAGAAGTAACTACCTAAGAGCAATTTTTGTTGCTTAACAGAACCTTAAAAACCAAAACATAGGGCAGCTCATGCTGCTGCTTTTTTTTTTTCCCCCCAGTGAGAAACATTCCCAGGCTAGAGGAAAGAAAAGCAAGCATACTTTAAATCTTTCCATTACACATCTAAATTCTGTTTTTAATGTTTTAACGTTGACTTAGGGTTACAAAATCTACATACGTAAGCTGCACAAAGTCTGGCTCCATGCCCTAAGGTTATTTTAGCAAGGTTCTGCCAACCACTTATTTACATGTGGAGAGCTATTAAGGGCAATTCCTCATGTTTTCCATTCAAATTTTTTCTATTATTACAAAGGGAGAGATGGGAGAAAGAGTTTCTTAGTACTTGCTCAGTCATGTAGAAAAGAGGCAAGTTTCTCTGCATAATTCTCCTAATGGATCTAAAACTTGTTTCACCCTGTGCTCAGCTTCCTACTTCCTTCTCCTCCTTCTTTTCCCTCTACAGGCTATCAGTTGTGCACCCCATACCAACAGCACTTCCAACAATCACCAAGTTCTTCTTAAAAAAGGGGGGAGGAATAAAAAAACCCAAGAGGCACACTCATTTTAGAAACTCTCTGCCAATGCTTCATTGAACATCACATTGGAAGGACACACCAAAGGCACCTCTAGAAGACGCTTCCACATGGCATTCCCTTACATCAAAGCCTTCACCTACCTTCCCGCAATCATCTTCAGCAAGAATACTGAAATTGTTTCATCCACAGCTTCCAACACTATTGCTTCCAATTTCCCTGTATTAAACAGAGGCCTGGGACATGCAAACACTGACAGGTTACGATCAAATCAGCCCTTAGACACCTCTTTGTAAAACTAAAAAGCTTCCTGAATTTGCCACTGTTAAGTTATGCTTCCCATGTTTCTAATTATTACTGATGCTCTCTGAAACCTCTCTGACCTTCCAACACGCTTCCTGACTTCTGGTCAACGGACATACCACGGCAGTGATGGATGTATTGGAGCTGAAGAGAGAAGCAATGCAACTCTCCTGTTCTATTTTCTTCCATAAATAAATGCATGGATAGCACCAAACCTTTGAGAGTGAGAGCTCCAGTCCTGCCATTTTTACACCTTGACCCACTACTCCTTTTCAGAGACACTTCCCACATGCTGTAACTGCACTGCATACCCATTATTCCTGAGGGAATACCGTAGCATTTGGCTATTCCTTAAAATATATACTGTTGGCATGGGCTTGGCTTCCTAGGTGATTAAAGTCCTTTTGATTCAACAGTCTGCTCTCCTCATTATTCAGTCATTCCACGACTTCTATTTCACCTGACAATCTCACCATTTGCTGTTTTCTTTCAGGTATCTGATGTAAACACTAAACAAAAAAGAGCCAAACACTGATTCCTGCATGTCCCAATTAGAAACATCCACTCCATGATGATTCCCTGATTAATTTTCTTTGTAAAACTTTCAATAATCTCCTTTTAATCCTTTTAACAGAGGCCATGTTGACTCTGTTCTTCAAAATGGAGTGTAAGCTAAGAGCCAGCAGTCTTAAAAAAGTCAGCCATAGCAATACTCTGCATCTTACCAACCAGACTTGTATTCTCATCCAAGAGACCAAGTTAGCTTAAAAGTGTTTCACCCCTGACCTTGCATCAACTGACAGTGACTTCGTAATAAATAAAGTCATTAGAAGATGGAAATGAAGTTCCACCCAAGCCATTCTCCTTCACCAAGTACATCTATAACTTTAATTGCAATGTGGGCTGCAGTGTCGGTGGTGATCGTCTGAACTTAGGATTTTAGGGAAAGATAGTTCC